TGCTGTACTTAACAACTATTCATAATACTACAAGTCTATTATAATAAGACATATTACCCAAGGACAAGAGGGAAATAGAAAGAACTACCAAATACTCAGGCAATTGCAGATAGTTATGGCCCACATACTTAAGATGAAAACACCACTCAAAGTAATACTCCCTCCGTCCCTTAATACAAAGCCTCATTTCCTTTTTGGTAAACCAAAATACAATGCCTCTTTCTATTTAAAAGTTGTATTTTTTGACATTATTACCCTCTTTTTATGAGTTGTCATCTTTTTTCCTTTACTTTTTTTTACTTTGAACACCAATTCCCAATACTTTCTCTATCTATCTCTTCAACTATTCCCAACTACTTTTTCTTTCTCTTTAGCTCTCTCTAACCCCACATGCACATACGCACTTTTAATCCTTAGTTTTATAAAATCTACAACTATCTTAATTCCCGCACAAAAACCAAAAGAGGCTTTGTATTAAGAGACGGAGGGAGTAAAATACGTCAATTAAAAAAAATTAAAAGCCAGCTAGGACAAATGAGAGTTTTGCTAAAATCTGGTTCAACATCAACAAATATGAAAAGCCCTAGATTTCTAATGAAGACAGGAGGGAAAATCAAAATTCAACACTAGCCTACTCATACAATTATAAATCCGCTTCATGACTAACCATCTACTGGTATTACCCCCTTTGTCCTATAATATCATATTTAAAAGTTCAAATAATCATGCTTGGATAAATTTTCAGCATTAGATCGCAATAAGACTAATTACATAACTAGGATAACTATTTGTCATTTTCAACTAATCTCTTCAAAACATAACAAAAAGATCAGCCAGCTTTCAATTTAAGGCCTCTTTAACAGATACAAGACTGCACGCATGCCCACAGGGATAATGATTTGATGCGATAAATAAACCGCATGTTAAAAATATAAGACAAATCATGACAATAAAGATTTTTTTTTTAAATGATATCCATAATTTTGTGCGTTGCAGCCTTGTAGGTTGTAACTGAATGCATCAAGTAATTTAAAGTTCGACATTACGCAGACATAATCGTACCATTTGTAAACAAGGCACCCACATGTTATAGACAAAATAACCCAATCATAACAGCTCCATTCAATAGCTAAAAACAAAGATTTAAAAACAAAAACAGATGTGCATGCCAGAAAACTAACATCAAACCTCACCTACTGACCTAAAGATCCACTACTGCCAAAAATGTATCAACGCATGCCTCATGCATAATAAAAAACAACCCATATTGCACCAAAGAACTAAAATCGTCGTAGAGTAGCAAGCAGTAGAACCAAAGGCTTTTAAGATACATATAAGCATAAAGGTATACTATTTTAAGAAACACAAAATCTAAGCACTGGGTCAATCAAATCCATCAGAAGAAATTATAAACCCCTTAATTGATTTATATTTAGAATCTCATGAAGGTTGTCACTTTTCGTCTTTTGGAGATGATTAACCGGACTACAGAAGTATACTTAATTCGTGATATATAATTTCTTTTTACACCTTCCAAGAAAAGAGGAGCCAGAAGCAACAAATACAGCCAATTATAAAAATGATGGATCAAAAAATTTAAAAGAAGATCTTACATCTTCTCTTTCATAAACAGTCGAATTTTAGTAAGTTCAGCATCCACCATTGCTTGATTACTTTGACCACCAAGATTTTGTGCCTGCGTGTGGAATGTATTTCCATTCTGCTGAGGCAGTCCAGGCAACTGATTACTAGCCTGGTTAGGTACCTGCCCAGAGATCTGACCTGACATATGTGCCTGGACATTCATTTTCAACTCTTAAAATGCCAAAAGCCTGAAAGTGCATCAGCTTCACCATAAGAAGGTCAATTCAAAATTCATGTCCAGTACATTATTGATTACCCTGCAAGGACAACACTTCACCTGCAAGGACACAGAAAAAGAAAGAAACTTCCATATTTATAAAGCTCAAACTTGACACTTCCTCGGTTGAACATTGAATAGAACGAATATACAAATTCACTCCTACAATGATGAAGGGAGCAATAACGAGGTAACAAGCATATTTACTAGGATAAAGCCACAGAGTGAAACCTATATTTGTACAGATTATTATGAAAAGGAAATCAAACTATAAGTAAAGCTGCATAGTACCTTGTCTCTTTGACTGAAGCATTTATCTAATATACTAATGTCATATTTATAAATAGAAGGTGAACCAGAGAAGCAATTTTTAGTTCTAATAAAAACAATATTTGTGAACAGAGACACTATGCAGAAAAAAGGAAACTAATTCATACATCCAAATGTAGATAACGCTGGACTAAAGACAAGCCCCAGCATATCCATACAGTTGCAATTTGCAGCAACACAATGTCCAATTACAACTTTAGTTCTCACTTCTCACTAACATCCAATACACATAAATTGCATCCCATTGCCTACTACTCTAACAGACCTCGGATTTCAAATGCAAGCACTGAATATAGTATCGTGTAGCGACGATCACACAAAAACGGAAAAGGACCCGCAGCTATCAGTCTATACTCACCAATGCTAAAAAAAAATAAAAAGTACAGATTGAGCAAATACATCAACTTCAGTAAAAATATCATCTTTACCAACTCTAACATATGATACACAGCAACATTAAAGTTGGCGGGTAAATTCCCTTCAAACAATTACACCCTAATATTAATTTATCAGCTTCTAAAGTATTATTAAATCCAATACTTAAGCCAAATTGATAAAAACTATTTCTTTTCACACTGAGATTACTGCACCATTCAAGAACAATCAATCACAACTCAATTCACATTGCACGATTAAACAACAATCAAGTACACAACTCCATACCTTAAATTCAATCGAAAACAGAGAGAAACCCCAATAACTTGAGTTAAATTAACCACAATGACGGTGCTTCGGTTGCTCGGTGCAACAATTGACAGACTAATTAACGATGATCGTGAACTTATTGAACCAGATCCTCCTATATACGTTGTCTAAATTCCGATTGTAGCAAAAGCCCCAATTTATACCGACCCAATTTGTTCAATTTCAAATTGAGTTGCACCGATTAGGGTTCTCACGACAAAACCCTAACTTTCAACAAAAAAAAAAGGGGGGTCAAAATTGAGGATTGAAAACGTAAGATAATAAGATTGGGGTTTCTGGGATTGAATTCGATTGCAAGTTGATTGAATTTTTGTTTCCCAAATTTGATTGTAAAAACTTAACCTTTGAGTCTCTCTCTAACTTTCGTTGTTTCTCTCTCCTAATTTCTTTGTTCGACGTTTCTTTGCTGAGTTTCGGACTCCAGTTTAAAGCCTCGATATTATTTTTCCTTTTTTGGGTTTTTTTTGTTTTATTTTTTTTTTTTTTTTTTAATTCATATGATCATTGACCGTAATTTACTCCCATATATGTTTTGTTATTGTCTATTTTCTTTTATTTTTAACTCTAATAAACACTTGAAGATTAAAGCATCAACTTGTGTAGATTTTAAATGAGTTTAGAAGTCATGTTCCAAAATCCAAACATAACACATGGTGTTTTTTGGGCTTAGTTTGGTAATGAGATATTGACCCGAAAGCGTGTTAATCTGATCAACTAAAAAGAGATGACTTTATAAATTCGTTATTTTCAGTTATTTGATGAGCTTTTTGTGTTATTATAAGATGCAACTTGTTCTTTTGATGTGGAGTTTAAACTCATCTAAAGCTAAGGAAAAGGACAAACGAAATGATTACGCTCTTTCTCGGTGTTATTCCTTAAACACTGACACTGAGAAATAATCGTCTTATACCTTGAGTCTTTTGCATGCTTTTGCTAGATCAAAATATCGGATTTTAGACATCAAAGTCAACCTTGACTTTCGGTTTCTATGCTGCCATTGTTCATATTAGTTATAATGAATGATTTTAACGTCATAACGAATGATTTTTCCCAACATTAAAGTTGTATAATGTTAGTTTCTATTTTAAGTGTATTATTATCCTAAAAGATGTTCTAGTTCTTTCAACTCCAACCGATTTTTATAACTACGAGAATTGTTGTTAGCCATATTATTCAATGTCGGAACCACTATAAATGCTTTACATTAGTCTTTTAGCCTCTTTGCACCAGTATGCAAACCACAACTCCACAAGAAGTTCATAGGATTATAGAATGGAATGAGGGAGCCCAGGTTTGTGAGAAATTTGAACGTTTATCTTGATGGCATTTCGGCAAATAATTTGACAAATCATGTCGGCTATCCACTTTCTCTCTCCTCTAACTACCCCACCATCAACTGTCCAAACCACCCCCTTCTCTCTCTTCTCCTCCCATGGCACATTGAGTCTTCGATCAACCACCAATATCGTTGCTAACAAAAGACACCCTACTAATGAAGTATGTAAAGTGGGCCTATACACCCTTTAGGGAAAGGTATTTGCTAACCACCAAGCTTAAAATCGATGGTGGTGGTTGAGCGGTGGGTCACCTAGTTAGAGCGGCGAAGTAGTGCTAGTGGTCATGAGGTGCTGAGGAGTTTTTGTTTGGTGGTGCTAGTGGTCATGCAGCGCGGAGGAATTTTTGTTTGGTGGTGCTAGTGGTTGTTTACCATGATGATGGTGGTAAAGTGGATGGAGGAGAGAAGCCAAAATATGGAAATGCTAAAATTATCCCTACTGCTTATGAGAACAAGTCAAAAATACCCTAAAATAAATATGAAATGTTTATCACGAGAGTACCTTGGAATTCCTCGAATGGATTTAAGTAGAGGTGTTCATGTGCTAGGCAACCAGCATATCAAGCCTGCATGGACTACATGTTAAGCCTGAATAAAAGGGCTTAATTTGTCATTAAGTTTGTTAGACAAAAATATACGGTTCCATCCCGTATCTCGCCCTAGTCGTAGATTATCCCTTCTAAATTCAATATACTGATGTCAGCAGTCACATAGTTACATACTAACATTAGCGGTAATCCTTCAAGATTCTAAGATTCATATGCAATATGTCCAACAAACTACGAAACCTATCAGTGATTACATATTTTTTTTCAATATTTACATCTTACATGCAATTATTCAAGTAACAAAGTTTGATTAATTGCCAAGACCCAAAGTTGGTCCCTGAAATACACATTATTATTATTATTATCCTAAGTATCATAACAGCGTACAACTAAACTAATAAACTAGCGTCTTTTATTTTCTTGCTGCTCAAGAGGCTAATCAAGAGTTTCCTTTGAAGTGAAATACACAGCATTCTTTAGAAATGAAATCCCAGCAGTAAACAAGATATTGAGAAAAACTTGCAGACAGCTGAAGCTCCCGCTACCATCGTACCTAACTCCAAGAGAAAAACGGAAGCTTTTGTTCACCAGAAGCATATAAGATTATATTCTTCTTTAAAGGTGATATGTACTGTGCTCCATGGAACGCAGCAGCTCTTAATGCATTAAACGGTCCCAAATCAAATGAATATGCTTTCTGGACACCATCAAGGATAGTAGCCATCATAAAATTTGCTGGCTTCCGTTCTGCTTCATACTTTCGCAACAGGGATAGCTGTGACATGACATTAATTGCATAAGCTATGTTCAATATGATTTTGAACATACAGACAAAAGAATCCTTTAACCTTTCCTCATGTTACAACATTATTAACCCCCGCCCTGACATAAATGCTTGGCATTCTGTTTTGATCAGTTAGACTTTAGTTTTCCATGATTCTTTTTCATAATTTGACATCTTATAATCAGATAATGTTAAGCAATAAAAAATGTACTTCCATACAATGCCACATAAGAAATTAAAAAAATCCAGGAGATGGTACCTGTCCTATGTCAATGCCAACAGCAGTACCCTCAGAGATAACTTTTGAAAGAACAGAAGCATCTCCAAAACCAAGGTTAACTCCTTGACCAGCCAGAGGATGAACGGTGTGGGCAGCATCACCAATGAGAGCAACACGGGTTTTAGCATAGGTATCAGTGTGTACTAGAGACAAGGGAAACACCATTCTTTCTGTTGCCAACTTGATAGCCTTTGGTGGAACTTCAAAAGATTCATTAGATGAGACTGAATCCGACTTAAAGCTTGAGAAAATTTTGTCAATACTTGAAGTTGACTGTGGATGAGGACCAAATCCATAATCCAATGCATGATTCACAGCCTTCACAAAATCATCTTCAGTCATGGCTTTGCAGTCTGAAGCCTCTTTAGGGCTCATTGTCCAGACAATATTGCTAAAATTTTCCCCTATCGGCAAAAGTGCTATTGGTCCTGCAGGAAGAAACCTCTGCCAAGCACAATAGTTGGGCAATGAATGCTCAACTGTGCAGATAACTGCATTTTGAGGATACTTCCGGCCAGAGGATCTGAACCCTGCCAACTCCCTAACACGTGATCTGCCTCCATCAGCTCCAACCTGCGATAAGAAATCTTGGGCATTAAACGGCGAAGTACTACTAAATTCTAACAAGTTATCGCTTAAGGTGAATTGAGAGTAACATCATCAATGATAAAAGTCACAAAACAGGGGTCACTGTCATAACCTTATGATTTGAAGTTCAGTGCACCAAATTATTTGAACTGCCAAGACACAAAAAATCGGTTATGATTTTAGGGAAGGAGCTGTTAAAGAACAACCTTTCCCTACCAATTTTTTTCAGCTTATTAACACAAAGTGCCATGAGGTCCATGAACTCATAAGATTTATGCAGAGCCAAGAATGGTGAAGACAAAAAAATGTTTCAACGTTAGTGTTCTTTTTGTGGTAGGTGAGGGGAAGGGGTCAGGGGGAAATCTTACTAATAGCTAAAGTCTTTCCAGTATCCACTTAGAATGTCCCCAAAATAGCAAGAGATATCCTCCATATTGCAAAGGTTGTCATACTTGAAAATGGATGATGAAATTTAAATATAAATAAATTAGGGAGAACGTCCTTACCTATCAACCAATAGTCCATGGTTAATTTAGTGACACATTAGATGTTTTTAGCTTGTTATTGTTAAAAACTTAATAATAGTTTTAGGACACCCCAAAAAGGAAAAATAGACAGACTATTGTAGGACAGGGAGTGTTTGACAGTATGGTTGAGAAAGTCCTTAATGCCATCAAGCTCATACTCACATTTTTTCTAGAATTTTCTTCTGGCTTACACTTAGTGTCCAAACCATCCAGAAGGCATCAATAAATGAGCCATCACGGAACAATACAAGTTCTTCCAATTATTAAATTTGGTTTGTACCCTTCAAATTTTTTGCAGTTTGTTAGTTTGTAAGAATTTAAGGGAAAAAAAGGTGTCTGATATCTACTATAATTTGTGCACATGATCAATATGATAATAAACATTGTGAAGGCTAAAGATCAAACACTCATCTTTTGTCTAAAGGGGCTGATGAGTTGATCTTTTACCAAATTTGGGAGCCAAAGCCTAGCAATTTGTTTGAAAATCGCAAGTAGCTGAGGTCCTTTAAAATCAAAGACAAAAACCAAAGGATCTAAACAGAAGCTAGTAATAGTGCAAGTAACCAAAATCACCAAAAGAACCTCAACAAAGCAGCAGATATTGGAAAGAATAGAATTATTATTACTCCATAAGGTCTAGAAATGATAGTGAAATTAAACCCAACTCCTTGTAATTAAGGATATGACATGATTTTGCTAAAAGACCATCTATAGTAATGGGACTGTTTGGACCACTCCTGTTCAATCCAAGTAGGGGCATCTTGAGAGATCTAGCACCCTGATCTAAAACAACACCTCATCAAGTCCACTTCTATCTAGGCTGACCAATGTAATTGAAATAGAGAGAAAAGAGACTTCTTATTTCTTCCAAGAAGGCAACAAGAGACTATATAATAACAGCTGAAAAAGAAAATATACTTGAAAAAATAAGATGACCTAAAAAGAAAAGTATTATATTCATAACTATATTTTTACCCAATTTCTTTGAAAGCAGCTCAAAATGGTTTCTATATGCTCTCAAGCTCCCCAATAGAATAATTTTTCAAACAGCTGCAGCAGCCAATGATGCTAAAAGAGTTGGTTTAACCCACAACAACTAATATGATAAGGTAGCTCTTGAAAAGGCACGGGAGTTCCATTCCAGCCAAACACACCACGTAATTTCCATAAATCATTGTGTACGGACTGCACGCAGGCTTCTTCTCCTGGACCCCTCCAAACCCCACGTCCCCACAAAATGGTTCAGCAGCCAATCCAAAACATCTAATGGACAAGCTCAAGACTATCTTCATACACAGCTAGTCACCTTCTCCAAAGATAAGTTAGACAACATGACACCTCATGGTTACAAACGCATGTGAACAAGAGTCACAAACTTTGGCAGAGTATACATAAATTCTAATATCAACTAAATTCCCTGTCTTCTCTTATGGAATAAATCATTTGTATTAATCCAAGCCGATGCCAATGTACACACAAAAGCCCTCACTGGAAAAGCTGGATACCTAGGGGCACAGTGAAGGTTATAGAGATAGTTAACAGGAAAAGGACCTCAATAAATGCCCATCAGCCCATCCACCACCTAGAATCCTCCACCTTCAGTGAATCACAGAGCAAGTAATTCTCGACTACAGAAGTAAGCTCCTATATCTCCCTGTTACGGAGTGGCCTCAGTATTAGAGAGTTGTTGGTATAGAGAGCAGACACAGGAGCATGACCCAATGGAATAGTCACGGAAATTTAAAACAATAAAGCTGATCTCCTCTGTTAATATCCTCCCACAAATGATTTCAAGTACATCCCCTGTCTAAAACCACACCATAGAGTGACAGCAGAAAAAAAGAAAAAAAAAAAAAAAAAAAAAAAAAGAGGGAGAATTCACTAGTTTAGGTTTCAAATTAAAGGGAGCTTAATCTGAAAAAGAATGGCATACCATTAAAGTTCAATTATATTTCTGTCATTGCAAAATTTACTTTGATATGCAATTCAAAATACTTACCACCAATTTTGCTACTACATTGCTTCCATCAGCCAGCTCCAACTTTGCTAATTGACTGTCCATCTTGTTGGATGACATACTTGACTGTAAAGCCATTGAAGCCAATCTAGAGGGAAGTACTGTTTTACGGAAATCCTTCTCCTGTCAAGTTCCCCAATCCAACAATAAAGAGAAGAAACAGACTGCTAGAAGTCGCAATTACTAACTTCATAGTTCATACGAGTGGGTGGACTGAAAGTCATGTAAAGAAAAATTATAAACCTCCATAAAATCAGTAACTTGGCTACGTTTTATATAAAGCTCATTGTTTTGCAGCACAATACAGTCTTTCCATGATTTTTATATTTACTTCAAGAACTTCTTTTTTTTTTCCTGTCAATCCTTAGAGCAGACATAAGAAGCCTACACAATTATTCTAAAGAAAGGTGGACTAAATTTTAGACTGCTAGAGAATCAGAACATTTATCTTTGGTAAGTCTATACAAAACAGCCCACTCATGAAACAGAGGGAATGTGATAGATCAAGGCCTTCCCAAAAATTCTGGCAAAAAAGTCATTGAATTGTAAACGAATAAATTAGTACTGAGAAATTGAACTGTACCTGTATACACAGTGATAGGGAGCTCTGAAGCACCTTATTCTCGACAACACACCTACATATGAAAAAATAGTATGTTAACCCTCTTGAATAATATTATGCATCTGTAATTAGGGTTGACTTCAAAGTTTAGAATGGTTTTCTTTTGTAGTGTTAGCTCACCCGAGCACCTCCTTATTAACATCTCGAGCATTGTACCTGGTATACCCTAGGCCAGTATAATCCCATACCTACAAGGAAAATTAATTTATACATCATATACAGGCACCAAGTACTAACAAAAAGAGGCATATAAAAAGAAAAACATTATGGCACATTGGCAATAATGATTTTATATACAATAAGATTAGAATATAAGCCATTTATAGGACCCTGCATGTACTGCATTCTCTCTTGTTCTAGCATTGCTAACATAAAATTTCGTCAGAAAAAGAGAATATACTAAACTAGATATACCAAAGCCATATTCCCAAAAGGATGATGTCAGCTGCATGAACCAAGAATCTATCTCATGCAATCATCCAAAAATGATCCTCATCCACCATTCGCTTCTCGCTAGGGCACATGCTAACTAGTTTTTTCATGTCATTTTAACTCCCTAATGGCCTCATACCAAGTCATCTTTATTCTCTCTTGATTTCTTTTGAAACCCTAGTGCAAAAACCCATGTACAGTGGAAACAGCTGCAAGACTTGAAGTTAAGCAAAACAAGACTTTAAGCACTGTGTTACATCATGTAAGCATACAGCACAGCTAAGCTAAGACTAATTTACTGAATGTTAAAAAATAAGTGTTTTATTCCAGATGCTGCTTTTTAAACAAAAAATAAAGCCATAAATCACATTATCATACAGCACTAGAACTTCAAACATGAAACTGAAGATATACGCATTATCACATTTTAACCTGCATCTTATCAAAATACGCATGACGTTGCTGCTCAACGTACTTCCAAGCTCCAATACCTGCAAAAAATACCTCTTTGTTACTGAAAACCAAATTGGGAAACAAAAGGGCCATATGTCAGAAAATTGTCCTGCCCTAGCCTCTTGAAGTTCTGTAGGACACGAACTGAAAAAAATGGCTCTATCGATAAAGCAAACCAAGTACAAGATGTTTAAAAAATAATAAGTTTTTACTTTGCAAGCTATAATATGTGTAGTGATTTATGAATCAAGGCTTGTATTCTGAAAACCGATACACAAAATATACTGCAGCGTAATACAAACAAAGATAACATACTTTCAAGAAAGGAGATAGAAGCTGGTGTTATTGTACTGACTCTTGGATCAGGAGGTTCCTCTTTATTTATCCAACCACCAGATGTCAATGCAGGGTTGTCATCAATGATGGCAACGCTCAACTTTCTAGTTAAAGCAGAGCTTGCTGCATGGAATACAAAGTATGTTAAAATCCTAAACTGGCGTATTTACTCCTTCCTGCTGCAAGAAAGTGGCTATAATTTAGAATAGTTACTAATGTACCACAAGACCAGGGGTAATTACTTACAGCTGCTAAGAAGATACTGGATATCAAAGATGGAAAGTAGGAATGGGGCAAGAAGCAATAGGACATTATAAGTATTAAACCCTCTTCACAAATAGTAAATCCACTAACCTAATGAACATGCAAGAGCCATGCCAACCATGCCGCCGCCAACAATAGCAACATCATATTGCTGAATTTCGCTTTCTGATTTATTTTCTCCCTTGTTTCCCTGTTACAATAATTAAACTTACACCCGGAGGATAAAGAAGGGAGGCAATGAAAGGGGTGGAATGGGGACGATAAAAACTAAAAATGAAAAGCAACTCTTCATAGAAGAAGGCGTATTCCATCATTTCCGTCATCCACAAAATAGCATTCAAATTAATTCAAGACAATGCTATGTATTCCATCATCTACAAAATAGAAATCAAATTAATTCAAGGCGTATTCCATCATTTCCATCATCGTGTCTAACAACTGTTACACTACAATCTTGTGCCATTAAAACATCGAGACCAACAACCACTAGTGTCAAACATGGACTATTAAGTAACAACCAAGCCACAACTACACTATAGCCAAATTTTTTACACCTCAGCAAAAAAAACACAACCGCACGAATCCCACAACTACAACTATAGATGCTGACACCATTCAAATATCAATGAATTGCATTACAATTCCCTACTCACATTGCTATGTATATAGCTGTTTGAGGCAGAAACTTCCGGACCGCCTACATTGCAATAGAACCTCCTTAAACCTTGCAGTCGAGAAACCTCGAAATTGATCTTCCCACCAATCACTCTATACATTTTCCTATTTGAGCAAGAAAACCCCTGTTAGAAGCACACAAAACACATCAATCCACAACCCAACTTCCAACCAGGACCGTCCCGAGCCACGGCATTAGGGGCAGCCGACCAGGCCTCAGGGATAACGGTCCATTTTCATAGTTCCATCCTAACATTAAGGGTTTTAAACAACAAATTAACAACCAAGTTTGACTCAATTTTCAAAATACTTTCAGAAAACACATTAAATTCTTATTAATATTTCAATAGTTCAGCTTAGAAGAACCCTAATTCGATTAGAATGACATCTAAATTAACGATAAACCCTAGATTGTGACATTGGTAATTGATGATTACAAAAATCGTCTTACCTCAGAGTAAGCTTCAATGAAGAACTCAGAGTAAGCTTCAATGGAGGAGAGAGAAAGATACCTAAGAGTGAGTGATAGTAAATTCAACTGACGGGAGTTCAGACGATTTTCCGATCTAGTTCGTCGGAAAAGTTGAGCCTAGAATCCTTTCCTTGTCCTAGAAAAAGGTGGTTTACGGAGTAATATAAGTATGAAATTGTTGAATGTGTGATAATTTTTAAATTGGATTTAACTCGTTTAAGTATGGGGCAATTCAAATCACGTCGTGTTTGGATGGTGATCATTTATGTCGAATCATATTTTATGCTTTGTAATGATAAATTATTGTGTAGTTCGGGCGTTACACCGGTTTGCTACTTTAATTATATATTGTATTTGATATTTATAATGTCTTTTTTTTTAATTACACTTTGTAATTATTAATTATATACATTTATTTTCATGTTTATAACATATTTGATAATTGGGTTAGATGATTAAATAACCATTCTTTTTATAATGTTAGTCAATGTTTATGTCGGATTAAGTAGTGATGATATGGCATAATGAGAGATAGAGTAGGTAACGTGACGTGGTTCAACATGGCACAAAGATGTTCTTAGTAAATTAGATACGAAGTATGTTATTTTGTAAAACATAAATAAAAAAAATAGATATGTTATTTGTCCGATTAGATTAGTTAAGGCCAAGTTAGATTGGATCGTTTAAAGTACTCCGCAATGCGTTAGTGCATTACACTTTGAGCTACAAATTGGGTATTTTGAGTAAAGTAATCGAGTTTAGGTCAATTGAACCTAAAAAAAAGGAATAAAAATGTCATGAAATAATCTTTGTCTAAATACATTCTTCTCCCCAATCTCAATATATCATTGCCTAGAGTTTTTACATTTTTATAAACTCCCTTTTTTATGAAAAAATTTCTTGTTAAGTGTGTAGGTAAAGAGACTGTAAATTCAGAAAATATATATATTGAAATGTGGGCCGGATTTTTTTAATGTATGTGTAAAGTTGTGACGTGTTTAGAACACTGTCTTAGAAGCAAAATTCGCCCAGACTATGGTGCAATCAGAGATAGCATTACCCCCCAAGATTGAACACGGCGATCTCTCTTAATGTGCACTCAAAAAGAGAGATTAGGAACTCGCAATATGCACATAACTAAGTTAGAGGAAAAGTGGAAGAATAGAGGAAGGAATTTGTTTATGTTTGTTTTTAAAAGCCACGGTAATATCAGTATTTATAGATTATGAAAATCGTAACTGGTGGAGAAAATCAAGCCACAAAATATATCGTGGGAGAAAAATCAGTGACAGTTACAAACATTTAAAAACCGAGTTTGTTGCGGGCTTCGTAATTGAACAATCTCATAAAAACTGGAACGTCAGTTACGACTTGGCCCAAAAAGCCACACCACACCGCGCACGAACCGACCGGACGGTGACGGCACGCGCGTGGGGTTGCCCCCTTCTACCCCACAATAATAGGGAAATCACTTCAAACATCAAAGTATAAACACGCATATTTAAACCACGTAAAATTTTCCTTGGGGTGGGACAAAGAGTTTTCCTCCAAAAATAAAAGAAACTTCCTTGCATTATTTCCAACAAGGTGTTGGTAGTTTGACACCCATACTAAGGAATTTAATAGTAGAATGGTTAGAGAGGTGAGAGTGAGAAGAAAGGGTTAATGGATAGGCATGTTTGGGTTAAGTATAGGAAAAAGAAGTTATTTTGAGTAATTTGACGATTAATTGTGGAAATTCACTTTAAAAATGGAGCATGAGAAGATTGTCAGTACCAATGGGAAATTAAACAAACAAATAAAGATTCCTGGCTACTAGATGAGCAAAAGAAAAAAAAATGGGGAGATTAATAATACGAATTGGGATTTTGAAGCCCGTAATTAGGGGTGAAAGTTCGGTTTTCGGTTTGGTTTTTTGCCCAAACCGAAACCGAACCACTTTAATTCGGTTTCTGTATTTTTTAAAACCACACCGCACCACTTTACTTTAGAATCCGAACCAAACCAAACCATATTCATTTCGGTTTCATAATAAGAAACCGAACCAAACCGAATTTTTTGGGCCTAATTTATTTGGGCCAATAATCTGCAATTTTTTTGGCCTCATTCATCAACAAAGCAGTACTGTAGTAGCATAATATCATTAACAAGTTCTAAAACTTCTAATTCAACAAGTTTCAACTTTTAACAAAATCAAATCAAAACCAATCCATACACATAATTACACAATTTTTAACAACAAAGTAACAAAATCAAACCAACCAATTCATACAAACAAGTTTTAACAACATAATTGAACAAGTTTTTAACAAGAACAACAACAGAATTGCAAAAGAGCAGTCATACCAAACCCCTACACAACGGCCCTTTCCTCAAATTTGGGTTTCAAAGTCTAATTAGACCATGAAAACACTAGATCTAGTGTTTTCATGGTCGAATTTGACATGAAAGCCCTTTAGTTGATGCCCTTGATGGAGTTCGAAAATCCTCGAAAGGTTAGTCGATGGTGATGCGAATGGAAGGTGGAGAAGTGAGAAGAGAAAAGGAGAGAGAGTGAAGGGGGAGAAGTGAGAACTAAGAACTGAGAACTTGAGAAGAGGAAAGGAGAGTGAGTGAGAAGACTGAGAAGATCAGAAGAGGAGAGAAGGGTGAAGCGTGGAGCCGCGGAGAAGAGAGAAGAGGAAATGAGAGAATTAGGATTTTTTTTTTTCATTTATATACTTAGGGTAAATCTGTTGGGCTAGGGTTATTTTTTGGGTTTGGGCCTATATTTCGGTTTGGCTCGGTTTTTCACTTTCTCAAACCGAAACCGAACCAAAAACCGAATTTTTTTTTTCAAAACCGAAACCAAACCACCTTAAAAAAAAAACCAAACCATATTTGTTATTCGGTTTGGTTTTCGGTTCGGTTTGGTTTTAAACCGAATTTGTTTCACCCCTACCCGTAATTATCATTAACGCATAGGATTATTTCCCAAAAACTTTTACGAGTACTTTATTGCCTTAACATTATTGTACTGTGTCATGCCTCACAACTCAACACACATGAGTAAAACGTAACATTAATTGAATAATTGTGTAGGCTTAAGAAGACTAATGGTGTGTAATAATATCATACGAGTACCGATTTTTATCAATCTTGACATGTAAGGTTGTTAACAACAAGAGAAAATACAAGTTAATATTGGTCATAAACAAAATATGTTTATCTAAGGCCCTAAGGGTAATATCCTCAATATTTGCATTTAATTATGAGCACCTTTGTAATTTCAAGCAAAAAAGGTTACCAATAATAACTTAACGACGTTAATGGAGGTTGGGCGATGGACGAGCTTCAATGGATATACCACACAAAAAATCGAGCTCACGAACAACATCAATGGAGGAGGACAAAAGTCGTACCATTTTAGGTTCTCTATGCCCTTTATTTCTCTCAGGGTTTTCGTTTTATTTGGTGGTGGGCAAAACCTATAAAAACATGGTGGTAGAAATGGCGGTTCATGGGGAGGACGCTTCCATGGTTCCGTTTCCACAAAGGAGGAAGCTTCAACGAGGCTGAAAACTTCAAAGTGCAATGTCATTGATAGCATGTTTATGTAAAAGATCAATTGGGGCTCCCTCCTTAAAAAACAACATTTATTTCATTTCGTAATCAACTACTGCATATACATTTATTTGTATCCAACACTCTATACCAAAAGTCAAAGATACATCTAATTATTACTCCGTATCTGATTAACGTTAAATTTATCATCAATCTCGACATATAAAATTTAAAAAATTATCATCTTTTAGCTAACTAATTCAACCATATTCTATATCTGACTACCAGATCTTTAAATTCGATATACACTTTCCAATCTAAAACTTTTCCTTTCCTAAATTTTTACTCTTATTATTACCAAAATTTTCTCTTATCATACTTCAGTATTTTACTGTCCATAGTCTTACCACACGCAAAATCGCATATGAACTATTCCAGTTGCTTTCTCCATGTCCCCCAAATTTGCAATATTCCCTTTCAGATTCCCAATATTATACACCCAAAAAATACACACCTTGTCGCATTTACTTCAATGGTGGGGTTTCCATTACCGTTGAGCTTTCTCCTGTATATTTTGCTTTGATTCTTCCCCTTTTTTTCCTGGGTTTTGTCTGATCTAACAACATTTCCTAGCACAAATTTCTCCTGCTTCAGTAATTCTGCACTTTCTTGAGGAAAAGAAAGGTGGGGTTTTGTGGAATTTTTTGAATCTTGAAGGGTGGGTTCACAATCAAGAAAAAGGTGAGATCTTTTGCTGGAAAACCCCTTTTTAATTTTTCGAATCTTCTTTATTTTTCTGGGCCCATTTTCAGAATTCTTTTCTTTACCTTATATGATTGCTTAATTTGCTTGGATTGGGTTTTGTCCCCTTTTAAGGAATCATGGCATAATTTGGAGTAAAATCAATGTCAATTTTCTTTTAAAAGAGGGAGAAGTTGCGTTTATTTTCAAGGGTTAATTGAATTGGTTATATTATTTGATGGATTGCTGTAATGGGTATGTGAAATTGTAGCTTTTTTTAATGGGATTTAGTTTGGTTGTCTATATCATTTGATTGGTGTAACAAAGAAGATTGGAGAATTATATTTTGATTGGTTGTTTTGATTATATAATTTGGTGGGATTGTTTTGGCACTTGATTTGACTACCTGGTAATTGGTGTGTATAAATGGCGGGGGGTGTAGATGTATCCAAGTATGCTCACTGTCCTGTTCATAAGGCGATTGTAACAAGAGACCATGCCGCCCTCCGGAAAATACTGTCCGGCCTACCGCGTCTTTCTGATCCTGCAGATATTCGGTCTGAGGCAGCCTCCTTGGCCGAGGAAGAGAAGGCTGATGCTATTTCGGCTGTGATCGATAGGCGTGATAATGTGCCTAATCGAGACACGCCCCTGCACCTTGCAGTGAAACTCAGTGATGAGACTGCTACGGAGATGCTTATGATGGCTGGTGCAGATTGGAGTTTGCAGAATGAGCAGGGGTGGAGCGCGCTGCAGGAAGCTATCTGCAATAGGCAGGAAGCGGTTGCCAAGATTATAGTTCGGCATTACCAGCCGTTGGCTTGGGCAAAATGGTGTAGAAGGTTGCCTAGGTTAGTTGCAACTATGAGGAGGATGAGGGACTTTTATATGGAGATTACATTTCATTTTGAGAGCTCAGTGATTCCTTTCATTTCTAGGATTGCCCCTTCTGACACCTATAAGATTTGGAAGACGGGTGCCAATTTGAGGGCGGACATGACTTTGGCAGGTTTTGATGGTTTTCGGATTCAACGTTCTGATCAGAGTGTTCTTTTCCTTGGAGAGGGGTCTGAGGATGGAAGGTTCCCTCCTGGATCGTTATGTATACTCAATCACAAGGATAAGGAGATAATGAATGCACTTGATGGTGCTGGTGCTCAAGCTTCTGAAGCAGAGGTACAGCAAGAAGTGGCTTCCATGTCGCAGACCAACATATTCAGACCTGGAATTGATGTGACTGAGGCTGTTCTTTTGCCCCAGCTCACTTGGAGACGCCAAGAGAAAACAGAATCAGTTGGTCAATGGAAAGCCAAGGTCTACGATATGCACAATGTGGTTGTCAGCATTAAATCAAGGAAAGTCCCTGGGGCTATGACTGATGATGAGTTTTTCTCTTCGTGCAATGATAATGAGACAGACACTGAAGAACTCAACGAGATTTTGTCGGAGGACGGAAGAAAGCAACTTGAACTTGCACTTAAGTCAGATTCATATGAAGGAGCCAATGAGGGCGTTGATGACGGGATTGTTGGGCCTCGCCATAGTTGTTATGAATCCAGGGAGATTCCTATTGAGGACGTAAATGGATATAACCATGTGGACAGCAAACATGAGAAAAAAGGATGGTTTGGCAGTTGGAGGAAGCGGGATCAGAAGTATGAAGGACAAAGGAAACTTGTTCCTCCCAGAAGCTCCCTTTCTGTTGATGATAAAAGGAGTGATGTCGGCAACAATTCTCCTTCTAGAAATGCAATTAAACCGGGAAGGCATTCCGTAGATGTTGTAAGGGGGGATGAGTCACAAAGAGGGAGGGACAAAAAATCATCTTCATCAGGGATGGTTGAGAGTGGCAATCGTCACAAGGACGGAAGTCAGGAGAATGAATACAAAAAAGGACTTAGGCCTATTCTTTGGCTATCCTCTACCTTCCCACTACGTACAGAAGAACTTTTACCTTTGCTTGACATCCTAGCCAACAAAGTGAAGGCAATTCGGCGTCTAAGAGAACTGTTAACTACAAAACTTCCCATGGGAACATTCCCTGTCAAGGTATGTGTTCCTACCTCCTATATCTATCTTTAAAGCTGCTTTAGAATAATTGGTTGTGATTTTCATATTGTTGATTTCTGCTTCAAAACAATGAATAGCTAACCCTTTGGAAATTTCCTTTTTTGTGAGTTGTGTTTGTTTATGGTTCGACACATTGACATTTTTACCAGCTGTCTCTATCTACGTAGAGTAGGATCATTACATTACATTTCATCTTACTACCTCCGTTACATTTTATTTGCAACGATTAAACATTTTTCCTCTCTACTTTATGTCAAATCGTTGCAAATAACATGTGACGGAGGTAGTATATTCATACTACGTATGATGACAGACGAAAAATTAAATTGAATCCTTTCCGCTGCTAGTGAATCCAGATGAGATCTATTTCATCTTAATTTTTATTTTCCAGCATTGTGATTAGGCAATTTCTCCTATTACATAGATTAATAACTTCTATAGAGTACAAGGAAAAATAAGTGATGGAAATAATAATTAGCATATTGGTTGATTGGTTAAAGTTTTTGGTGTAATCACTGTAACTGAAGCTTTGGGTGCTCAAATTGTCCCAATTTATATGTATGTTTTTTATATGGGCCGGCCCAATGGTAATGGTAGGACAATTTGGGCATTTAATTTAGTGATGAGTGGTGCATTCTTATTGTTCTAGGATGCAACTGTGCACCTTGCTTTTCTACTATGTTTGCCTTTGTATCCAAGAGATCTAACTCGTCAGTAGGAGGTACCATGAATTTGCTGCATGATTCTTGGTAGTCTTATTTCTATTTTTTTTTTTCTAGATTCATTATGTAATTAGTGCGCAGATACACTTTAGCCTTATACTTTAGCGTGAGGTTGGACTCATCGAAGTTATTACTAGAACTGCTATGTATTGTTTGTTTCTATTGCTATGATTTCATATGGGTTCTTTACAGATAACACAATGAAAGCTCACTCCTACTATTATCGTTCTGGCAGTCATGCTTATTAGTAGTGGTTAAATGTTGGCTGTTGATGGAGGTGGAGCCTTCTTTAGACACCCTTTGCCTAGCCTGCAATGTTTGCTAAAATAGCGTCACAAAACGTTTTCGCTAAGCTGGCAGTCTGCCAGACATGAGATTATATTTTGATGCCTGCATTATTTACGAAAAGTTACGCAAATTTTTATTCGTACTTGGTGCCTTGGCGTGAAAGTAGTGAATTGTGACTTTTGAGGAAGAATGTGTTATTGCTGTACTTAATACAAGCTCTTCTAGGATCTGATTTTAAATGTCTGCCAAAACCTCTTGTCTTACCCATACTTCACTATCTCCATGCTTAATGAAATTAGTGTCCAAACTGATGAATTAGTTGTACTGTACTTGTTTAATTTCGTTCAACAGGTCTTCTTTTGCTGACTCTTTGTGTATTTAATCTTCTACTTCCTTAAATCCCTTATCGGTTGCTGTTAGAATGAATCTGAGCATAAGTTGGATACAGGGAATAGGGAGGTGTTGATCTTCATTTTGCTTTAAAAGAATGATTATTGCTAGATGATGTAAATATTGCCCCTAGGTTATATAACTGAGCATAGGATACAAAGACCTAAATCAATCTGTTCCTCTAAATTTGAATTACTCTTAAACCAGTCATACTGTATACTGCTCCATGGTATTATGGTAAAGCCAGGACAACCTGACAAGACGCCGGTTTTGAAATGTTTCCAAGATTTTGAGTGTCCGTGAAATCAGTTTGTGTTTTATGCATTTTTGAATACATGATTGAAGTGTTGCTGCTGTAGTCGAGATTGTATCTTTGAAATTTAGAATCTTAGAACGACTAGCCATCGTTATATGTTAGCTGAACATGGATCATATTTTGGAAATTTTGAATATACAAAAAGTAAATGATTTGTGTTTAAGAGGAAAAACCAAAGAGAGTAGCAAGAGATGATCTATAGGAACAAGACAGCATTCAGCCTTGAGACTGGACGTGTGCTGCAAAGTGGTTTCATTATGAAAAGTGATTATTTTTTCTCTGCTATGACAAAGGAGAACCTTGCTGATATTATGGGGTATCAAACTTGGAGAATCCTTTAGGTTATTTTAGATTAAAAAAAATGGTCCTGCTGTTAGTTTTCATAACCTGCATTAGATCGGCTTCTATTCATGTTTAAACTTTGGCCTTGGTGGGTATCTTTATGGATGAATTTGGTTGATATTTACCATTATAATTACAAATAGGTCTGTTGCTTCAACTACTAATGTTATGATCAACTTGTTTGATACTTAGTATTATATCCTTCTACTATCTCTCTCCACCTAACACTATTGACCACCCTTGAGGAAAATCTTTTTCCTTCATAAACTGCTTTCTGAAATGCCCATTTTGCCTTTCCAGACTCCTATTGTATGTCTGATTCCTTGCATACTTCTACTTCTATTTGTCTTTGTGCTGTTCTGTAATTGTATATATGTGTTGTGTCATTTTAGTCTTGCAGAAATTGAATCTAAATGGAACTTGGAAGTTTCTCAAGTCCTCACAGACTTTTATGGTTAAAATTTGCAAGAATCATGGTAATTATAAATGACATGAATCTATGTAATATTGGACATGATCTGGAGATTAGTACGATGCAAATTGAGTTGGGCCTGAATGTCATGGTCACCCTATCTATTATTATCTGATTCATGATTAACTTGAACGGAAATCCTTCTTTAAGACTCCTTGAACTTGGTGTACTATTTACTAGCAAGATACTTTGTGTAGTTGAAATTAGCTTTGTTAGAACAGTTAGAAGTTTAGTTATCTGAGCCATGGTTGTTCCTGCTGCTAGAATCTGTGTTGGACCTGTTGGTGACTTGGTGTTGTGTTAATTGCTACTGATTGACCATATTAGTGGGAGATGAATCTTGGTCTTCTTGCTTAACTTTGTGACTGAAGGCTGAAGAGAAAGTTGTTTAAAGAGCTTACATCGGAAATATTTGTTGAAATTAGAGCTTGCTTATTATGGAATCTCGCAGTGCTTCCTTTAAGCTTATATATATATATATATATATATATATATATATATATATATATATATATATAGGATAATTTGCCAATTACTACCGCAAATTAAAAAAGTTGTGAATTACTACCGCAAAAAATTTTAAGATGTTGCGATTACTACCAAACCCCCATTAAACCCAACTATGACGTCATTATATCCCTTTAACCCGTGTTTGACCATGGTTAAGGGCTTTAACTAGCCCCCCCCCCCCAAAAAAAAAAAAAGAAAATGGATTAGGGATATAATGACGTCATGATTAAGGGCTTTAACCATGGGTTAAAGTGATATAATGACATCATAGTTGGGTTTATTGGGGGTTTGGTAGTAATCGCAACATCTTAAAAAATTTTGCGGTAGTAATTCACAACTTTTTTAATTTGCGGTAGTAATTTACAAAGTAGTATTAACTTGCGGTAGTAATTGGCAAATTTTCCATATATATATATATATATATATATATATATATATATATATATATATATATATTTTAAAAAAAATACTGATATCTACCTTACGCTCTCTGAGTGTTTACTTTGAAAATCCTTTATTCCTTGCATTTTGTTTGATAGGAAAGGAGGGCATTTTAAACTACAGTCCCTTTTCATTTCCCTTAAAATTCATTTAGCCATGTTTTGCTAATTTCATCATTATTATTTATACAGGTTGCTATACCAGTGGTTCCTACAATTAGAGTATTAGTTACTTTCACAAAGTTCGAGGAAATACAACCAACTGAGGAATTCTCGACACCTCCTTCCAGTCCCACAGCTGCTTCTGATGAGAGTCCAGCAGTAACCAGTGCTTCAAGTTCCTTCTGGTTCCGATGGGCAAAAGCTCCTTACCAACGATCAACCTCATCTAGTGATAGTACTTCTGGCAACAAGACAGAGAGTAGTCAAGACCCATTTGCTATCCCTTCAGATTATGTTTGGATTACTGCTGAAACAAAGAAAAAAAAGATGGAAGAGAAGAACCGAGCTAAGAAAGGGAAAAACAAAGAGCAACCAAGTCTGGCTCATTAATTGGAGTGGTACGGTATACATATTAGCTTGTGAAACAACTGACAAAACAGGAATTCTTGAAGGGCAGAACAGCATATTCATTTACCATGTAGATAGTAGGAGTGCTGACAAAGTTGGGAGAGAACTTTTCTGCTCTGTTGAAAGGATTCAAAGTATACTGCAAATGTGGGTGTTTAACTATATACTACTAGAGTTGCAACTTTGCTGCAGTTGTAGTTCTTTACGCAAAGTTTGCATGCAGTTGATTTATAACGAAAGGGAACTAAGTTGATTTCTCATTGCATTCTTTTCGATTGGTATATTATCAATCAAATAATCACGCTGCTTTTGTATTGGAGAAAAGGAGCACTGTTGTTTGCAAATTTCTGCTGAATCCAATATCGGCTTTGGAAATTAGTATGCTTTGTTCTTGGTTCAATAAGCTTACTAGAAATCATTTCATATCATCACTTATCAACCTCACATTTTACACAATCGTATGCCTTTGTTTGGAAATAGTTGCTAAATTGTCAATTTGTCACAATCCATCTTTGCTACTCCGTATTTTACTAGAATAACTTTTATACGCGATAATGTGATCCTAAGCTTAAGTCATTCAAATCTTAAAATTAGTTATGATGAAGTACATCTTGATTCTTACTTATTTAATTTATTAATGATAAATAATTTATCTTATTTAAACTTATTAGATTACATTTATTTCTCTACAATTTTTTTTGGTAAACTTATAGAACTATTATAATTTTATTACCAATTATTGATCTTAAATCTAAATTGTATGTCTTGTTTCATGACTAAAATTGGGAATGATTTCCCTTAATAATGCAATAACATCAACTAATTCTTTAGATACATCGGTTAAAAACTATTTTCCACAATATCGCATATGCAGGCTTGGTTTCAAGGTTCAGTATTTGCAAGTGTAAAACCTACCTAATATATAGAATCTCTAATGGTATTAGTGGTTCTATAAGCGGTTCTTTATATAAAACCTCCAATATCATTAGCGGTTCTATATAATTTGGTTTTCCCATTAGTGGTATTATATAATCTAGCAAAAGTGAAATCTAAACTGTAAGAGATAGTTTCAACTTAGAACGGCCAACATTGTTAGTGGTTTTATAGTACCAAATTCCAAATATGGAAACCACTCCTATGTGGACAGTATTGTGGGAAATAATTTTTAAACCGATTTATATAAGAAATTAATTTGTATTTTAACATTATTTAGGAAAATCGATGCTAAAAATCTTAAAAAAAAATGATAATTATGACATTAAAGTCCAATCATATATTCATATCCAACTTGGACAAGATATTTAGATATGCTTAATATGGAGTAAAAACAACAAAAACAAAAATAAAGTTAAATTAATTAAAAAAGACAAAAAAAAAAAAAAAAAAAAAAAAAAAAAAAAAAAAAAAAAAAGGCTTTTCAATAGAGTTGTCTTTGCATAAAAAAAATAGAGTTATCTTGTCTTGAAATGCTAAAAATATATTTTATTAAAAAAAAGCTAAAAATATAATTTTATCAAAAAAAAAAGCTAAAAATATAACAAAGTCGTCATTTCTATCATCATCATCATCATTTAAGCCTTTGCCTTGTTTATCTTGACTACTACCGACTTTGGGGATAATAAATTCATCTCATTTTTCCAGATTTAGAACCCTAATTTTTTCAATCATTTTTCTCTGATTTCTGCAAAAATGGATAGAGCAATTAACAGGCAGAAAATTCTTCTTGATCATCTTCGTCCTCCCTCTTCTTCCGATCACAATTATGAAGCTTTTCTCTCTGTATGTAACAATTCATCTTTGTTTTCGTATGATTTTTTTATTCAAATTGTATGATTTTGATTGTGCGATCTGTTTGATATTATAAGATTTATATTCAAAAATCATAGGCTATAGTTATGACTTATGAGGATTATGAATATATGATGTGGGCTGCATGTTGTTAATACTAGCTAATTGTTATTATTTTATTGTAATAAATATTATATTATGATCTAAAAAATGAATTTGAAGTTGAAATTGGATTGTTGGATTTTGTATGATTGAATTGGATTGTTAGTTTTTGTATGATTGAATTGGATTGTTAGTTTTTGTATGATTGAATTGGATGGTTCGATTCTCGGTTAATTGGTCGGTTATGAATGGTTTGCGGATCTTTGTTGTTAGTATTTGCATGTTTTTGGTAAAATTGAAATCTATGTTGAGAAACTTAAATTGTGATTCCAAACTTTAAGCTGAATTATGTTGATTATATATGGAGCTTATGAGCTAATCAGAATTTCGCGGGTTTTAGATTTGAGCGCGGTGCTATGTTTCTGGCAAATAATTGGCCTGTGATAGCTAATTGTTGGTGTTAGGTGTGGTTATGGCATGGGGGTTATGTAAGCCTGTAAGGTTTTAGGGCTTGATGGCTGTAATAAACATTTAACCGACTCTTAGGCCTTCCTTATCTCGTTAAAGTTGTGGGAGGAGGGAAATATGTTGTTTTCACGTGGATTGGTGGACTTTGGTTGTAAGGCTTGATATAATTCATCCAGGAGTTATTAGACAACTACAGTTGGGGCATTTCCTGAATTTAAGTGCAATTAAATATTTCCAAGTGCGGTTAATTGACTTGGGGTTGGAGATCTTGTTTATAGTCTTCTAATTGTGACGTTTGACTTCTTTTAGTCCTTGGATACATGTGCAATCTCATAATTTAAGAATACAGAAAGAATGGGACATTTTGGGGCTGGGACTCCATTAATGTAGCTTTCTAAGTAACCGATGCACTAGTATCTGATACATAACAGACTAGTTGATTAATTGCATATAGTTTAAGAATAGCCCATGGAAACTTGGTAGCAGGAAAGAATAGAACTGAAGGGAAACTCAAATCCCTGTCAGATACTTGTAAGTTCTAACAAGATTTCATTATTTCTCAAGAGTTCAAACAACATAAGGACTTTTAGTTATCAAAACATTTAGAATATACTTGATCCTTTCGGCCCATTACGAATTTTCCTGATTTAACTAAGATATTCAATATGTATCATTTGATACTTGTACTATAAGGATCTCTTCTCAACTCATTGTATCTCATTTATGTTGGTTGTGGTGGTTATTGTAGGCAACCAATTGCATGGCGGGGGATTCTGCTGCTTATCACAGGACGAGTGCTTTTGGTGATGATGTTGTCATTGTAGCGTAAGTTGTCACTGTGTGATTATACTATACCCACTTTTAGTTACTAGGATATAATAACAGCTTTGTCATACTGCATCTTAATTTTTTTTTTCAGAGCGCATCGCACTGCACTTTGCAAGGCAAAACGAGGTCAATTCAAGGACACATTTCCTGATGATCTTCTTGCTCCAGTTTTGAAGGTACTCATGGATTATGCTGTTAATGATATCCCTTTCAAAAAGGGGCTTGTATAAATCATTGACACAAAAGAATTTGAGAAGTTGTTACCTATGTATACAAGTATTTAAAACTTATGCCGAGTTGTTGACCTTGCTAAACTTGAAGTAATTTATGAGTTTTTCTTTTCCCATAACTTGCTACCGTGACAGAGAGACTGAATTTTAATATTATGCTGTTAATAAGAATGCATGTTTTTCTCTTACCCTATCAATTTTCATTGAAATTCCTCTCCTTCCTCTTATGTTAATCATGCTCAAAACTGCAATCATATCTACCATTCTACCCTGTTCTCAAGATATCTATGTTTACTGTGATCTCTTCTTGTTTATTTAGGCAGTAATAGAGAAAACAAATGTGAACCCTGCTGAAGTCGGGGACATTGTTGTGGGAACTGTTTTGGCCCCAGGTTCTCAGAGAGCCAGTGAGTGTAGAATGGCAGCATTTTATGCTGGTTTCCCAGGTATATTTCTTACGGAGTACCTTTTTACCAATGATAATTTTGATCACTAGTTCAAAGCATCCTATTATCTTATTAGCAACCAATGTGAAATAGCTAGCATTTGTATTTTCTTCATTTAAATCTAGATGACGAGGAAGTGCTACTTTGTAATTAGATATGTTTATTTAATATTAAAGTTTGGTACTTTATCATTTGGAAACTTGATGTAATTTTCAAAATCTCCCTAGTTCAGGCTTTTGCTGAGCCAACTGGATGTTAGGTGACACATGAATTGAACTATACAAGTAATAGATCTTTACTAACTTGGCTTGTTGTTTGTGAACAGAAACTGTTCCTGTAAGGACTGTGAATAGGCAATGTTCTTCTGGGCTTCAGGCAGTTGCTGATGTAGCAGCGGCCATCAAGGCTGGATTTTATGATATTGGTAAGGACCTTTGCTTAGTGCATTGCTGAAAGTAATGATCAAAGTTTGATTCCCTCCGGAAAAAGTAATTATTTTACATAGACTTGGCTTGAAGAGTCAAGACACAGTCACATAGATGTGTGTCCAAGTGTCAATATATGTTCATTCATGAAAACAATGCATGATTTTGGTCCACTGTGAACTGTCCAAGCGTCATACATACCCTGCCTTTAAGTTTGGATCTCCAACATGGGTGGTTGAGGTGAAATGAAGAGTTGGTGTAACCTCGGACAAGAAATGGGAAGGGGACCTATTAAGTTTGTTTCTTCTTACTATATACAGATATACTAATTGTGTTTTTAATTAGTTGACACGTTTTGACTTTAGCACTATTCACACACCTCCCTTTGACCATGTTTTGTGATTTTTATGTGAAGAAAAATATTGTCAAGTGGGATTCTGTTAGATTCGTGACAATATATATTTTCAAAATATCAACTTTTTATAATTTTTGCCTATTAGTAATTAATGATTGAATTTATGCATTGGTAAACGTGACTAAAGAAACATGTCAACTAAAAAGAAACGGAGGAAGTAGTATGTAAAGAATCACATTCCAAATTTTCACATTGCAGGAATTGGTGCGGGATTAGAGTCTATGACAACAAACGCAATGGCTTTTGATGGATCTGTGAATCCCAAAGTAAGTTCTTGATGATCCCTTGTCTGAGTTATCTCACAATCTAGGTTACATGGACGTGTCTCTTATGCATGTAGTATAGTGAATTTTTCTGTTATATCTTATGAGACTTTTCCTTATGTGGTAGGTAAAGGATTTTGTTCAAGCCCAAGATTGTCTTCTTCCTATGGGTATTACTTCAGAAAATGTGGCACACCGCTTCGGTGTGACAAGGGAAGAACAAGACCAAGCAGCGGTGAGTTACATGACATTTCAGATGTGGTTTTCTTAGGTGCTTACACAGAGTTAAATAATGATTTCTTTGAGCTTGGACCTGTTAGGTAGAGTCTCACAGGAAGGCTGCTGCTGCAACTGCTGCTGGTAGATTTAAAGATGAGATAATACCTGTACACACAAAGGTAATCCTCATATTAAGCTATTGTGATTATTTGTGTCTCATTTGTCAATTCATGCTCTTAGTGAGTTCTCATTCTTTTTCCTTCCACCTTTTT